ATTTACTGCTAGGGAATAAAATAAGGGAACACAAATGTAACGTACAGAAATTTCAATTCCCTTATTCACTGCACATAAAGTCTAGACAATTTTTATTTGTAATTTTTTTAAGACAAAAAATTCTTTGATCCATGACGAAGTTAATGTCGATGGCAAAATAACAAATTGAAGGAAGAATAATTATTAATTGAATGAAGTTTTTTTAAAACAGTTTTTAATAAATAAGTAAATCTTAAAGATCAGTCACGTTCGGAATCTTGTACAATTAATTTGGTGACACAAAGAATATAAAAAAATTTGTTGCAAAGAAAATTTAATTGAAAAATTATTAAAAATTTTTGTAATTTCTGATTTAATAAGAGAAAACAAAAAAAAATGAAATGTTTAAGAAAATGATTGAATAATTATGGTAAATTGTATGAAATGTTTGTTGTGTTTTCCAAAAAAGTTCAAAGAAAACGATAATGTATTTGTTGTAAAAGAAATCAAACTTAAAAACTCAAAAAATTTTAATAAAATTAATTGTAGTAATCGTCACATTTTTAAAAAGAAATTTAAAAAATTTTTAAATTATAATATCAACTCAAAAAAGTCAAAACAAAAGGAAATATTTTTGAGGCACAAGGAAATTTGTCATAAAAATTATATTTTTGAAAGCAGATACAATCGGATTAAAAAGAAGCGTCAACACTCAAATAGAAATCTCAGAGGTAAATGTTTCACCACAATTATCAAATAACTGTATTGTAATGATTGTATACGAATATTTAACTGTAAAACTTGCATGTGTGAAAATTTCGAGTGTAACGCTTGACAACGCTTTGGCAACTGTAGGAACTTACTCAAGAACTAAATATTTAGGAATATGTAATAAATATAATTGGTTCTACAGTCACATAGTTTTTAGAAGAGCCAAAAAATTACAGAAGAAAATTTTTTAAAATTTCATGGCTTTAACGCTTGAAGCAGCTCGAAATGTCAAAATATTTTTTTCAATCTTTTTTTTCTTAATTTTTGTTGAAGTTGTCTAATATTAGTTTTAAATTTTTCATAAAATTAAAACATTCAATAAAAAAATTAAAATTTTTGAGGGAAATTTATGGATCTAGCTAGTCTGATGTACGTATTTATTTTATAGCTGTAAATTTTATGTATCAAGTAAACAATTGATTCAAATCAATTATATTTTCGATTTAGACAATTAGAAGATTGGAAAGAGAATGAGGAACAGAAATGTTTATGCATAAAATTGAAAAAATTATCCGTATATATGCTTATGTTCATACTTACATATACAATAATTTTGAAACTGGAAATTAAATTAAAAATATTAAAAAACTAATAAGTTTTTCAAAAATTCCAATTCATTATTAAAAATTTAATATTTTCACATTCTATTTGATAATCGGATTATAAGAACAAATTTTTTCTTCTTCCTTTTAAACATTTTCATCACTTTGAACATTTTTATCGGGCAATCTTTATGGTTGGATAACAAATGAAGTAAAGTTCAGAGAGCTGGCTTTGATTTTTCTTTTTCTTTCTAAAGTTTATTCGATTCTCGCTGTCACTTTTTGTTTTTTAATTTTTTCATTTCCAATATCGTATACACTTGAGAAACTTTGCGCTAGAAAAACGTCTTATATACGAAAGTGAAAATGTTTAAAAAGGATGAATATTCGTAGCGTTTCATAGTTTTGCCAATTATTATCCACGAATTAATATGACACATTTTTGTCAAATGAAACTATTTACTGAAACGTCATATCAATTTTTTTTTTACATTATATTTGTAACCTTAAAGTTATTATGTAGCAAAACTATTTGTTCCAAAAACTAGAACCAAAAATTTCCATTCCATTCTTTTTATTTTAAATAAAGTATAACGTACAGATTGATGTTAGATATTTCATTTGTATGAAGGTCTCTTTAAAATCACATCAACATACCTTACAAGCACATGTCAATTTGTACAATTGAAAAACAAATACAAATAGTTGATCAACTTGTATACTTACTTGTATACTATGTTTTTTACAAATTTTCTTTAAAAGCTCTTTACCAATTTTATTTAGGTTTATTCTTTAATTAATATTTAATTTAATATAAATAAAAGAGTACATACTTCATATTGTTTATGTTCATCTTTATATACCCATTACGTTCATGCAAACCATGCAAACATATTACATGTCAATATGTGTTCGCATACAAAGTATGTAAGTTTATGTTCTCATGAATTTCCGGTCTTAATATTTAAATAATATTATTGGTATTTTTTAATTTTTTATTATTTTTTTAGTATTATTTAAAATGTTTTTGTTTTTTTTTGCTAGAATATGGAATTTGATCAATTGTTACAGTTGAATAATTTATAGTCACACTAAACTGAAGCCGATCCTTCATCTCTTTAAAATCTAATATTTTTTTATTCTTGTATATACATACATGTTTATGTTCATGTTACTGAGTGTATACACACAATTTATAATACGTAGATGTACATATGTATGAACACAAATGTACGTACACATGTGCAAATATATACTATAGATGATATGTAGAATTCCCGCAATTTTGTAATAATTTTTAGAAATTGATTGGGGTCTTATTGTTATACTACATATCTTAGTTTCTATTTGAAAAAATAAAAATCGGAACCAAATTAAAGAACAAAAAAAAATTAACTGAATCCAAGTTGTAGTTTTATATTGTTTAGGTTTTTGTTTTTTTCCTATTATATTTGTATAATATAAAATTTATAGGAACTTTATAAAATAACTAATAAATACAATAAAGGTAGCAGCACCCATAAGTTTAAACATTTACATCATTTTATATTTTATTAACTACCTACTAATTTGAATATAAAACAAGTGAACAGTTTTGTAAAATAAACAATTTAAGGCATGAAAAAATTAAAGCTCACCCTGTCAATTTTAGGATACCAGTTACAATCAATTACGAAAATTTCGAATATCACAATATCATAACCATTATGTTCTTAAAATTTCATAGATTTATAGATTTGTACAACCGAGTAACGGCGCACCACGACCACGTATAGTGAGCTATAGTGACCACATCCTGATTGCGGAGCATTCCCCTACTGCACCTGCTCGAGATCTATCTTCCTAGTTGCGGTAAACCGCAACTTCGCCTCAGTGAAAACGAAACGCCTTAGTATTTCCCTTCTCCTACGAGCGAGAGCATCACATTCTATTATTTTTTCCCTACAGAATCTACAAATGTCTATACTCTACAAAATAAAAAAAAATAAAAAAAAACGCATATGGTGTAGTAAGTGATGATTGTAATTTCACAAAATCTTAGCACTAAAAAATAACTTCATCCTTACAATACATTTGTACTAAAACACCACGTTTTCTCAACTACATTTAACAGATCTAAAAAATTACTAAAAATATTATTTTCCAAAATTTTTGTCTAATACCTAAATGTCAAATTTCAACGGTTTACCTGCAACGTCAATTTTCTCTATTTAGCAAGCTCTGTGCATATATTTATGTATGTACACAAGCTTACGTTATTTAATTGCATTTTGTCATAGTGACACTCAATCTGTTATGAATGCACTGTAAAATTCACCCATAATGGGTTTATTTATGTTGTTAAGAATGAAATGGCAAATTTTTTATTCATCACAGAAAAAAATATATTCAATGTGTACGAATACGAGTACAATACTCCAATTTTTATGCGCATTTAATTTGTGAATTTTTTTGAATGCGTTTAAGTTAACTTTTATTTTATTTGATTGGATTTATCTGTTAGTAGCCATTTTGTTTTTTTATATTATTAATAATATTATACATACGAGTGTATGTTCATTACAATCTTTCTCATTACAACATGCCACTAACAATTAATTTAAAGGTATTCGGATCAAGGAAATTATATTTAATTTAAAAAAAATTAAAAATTTACAATTATTTTAAATTAAAAATCAAAATATTTAGAACACTTGTAAGTGCGCACCTACACCTATTTTACACTTTTTATTTTATTTAAATAAGGTTCATTTTAGAAAACTTGTGTTTTACAAATATTTATTAAGGTTACGTTGGGATGAAATTTCAAGGCCTGGTTATATATATATCCGACATTTTTATTCAAACAAGTGGGAAGAAGTGAGTAAATTTAGCTTAGTTTAATTTTCAAACATTTAAGTTCAGTTAGTTAGTATGCGAGGAAAGGTGACACACTGAACGCAGCCATCTAGCAAGGCCAATAGAAACAATCCTTTTACAACACACCTCTCCTTGCTAAATCCATTCAAATTCTTGACAAAGTTCAGTAGATCATTCGCGGGCGCCCCGGATAGTTGCTCCAATTCGCCAAATCGATATTCTCTCAAAAAACGTCAGGAGCACGTGTTGCATTTCATTGACCAACCCGATGTCTCGGCATCACCGGCAAACATCCACTAAGTAAATGTGCAGCTTCCTTGCCATCTTTCTCAGTAAACAGTATCCCGTCTAAATGGCCGCAATTCTGAGTTCACCGCTGCTTAATGTAAGTATTGGTGCTACATATCTCTTTTTTTTAAATAATATACACGAATCAGTGAAAATTTTAAACTTTTTTCATGACATATAGAAAAGTGACAAATTGCATTGTTTCTCTTAGAAATTTATTTTATAATATTAATTTATTTAAAGAATCAAAATGCTATGCAATTGAAATTTATATCTGTTATATAAGATTTAGTTCACAACATGACAAAAACAAATTTTTGAGTTCCAGTTGACAATAAATTTAAATTCAAACACAAATTATTATTAGCTAATCGATTCTAGTCAATTCCAATTGGTTAAGGTCAATTTAAGTTAAAATTTTCTTTTCAAATAAAACAATAATAACATTTTTGTTTTATGAAATAACTTTTCAATCAAATAATTTTATTGAATTATGAATAAAAAAAAATCTAAAAATATTTCACAATTGAATTCTTCAATATTTTTGACAAATACACTCGCCCGCCTTCCCCGCTTATCCGTCCTCATATTTAATGTGTTATTATTTGTGTATAATTCAAATCCAATTTGCGATTAAATTTGGCATAAAATCTTTTCATCAAAATGGTTTTGAAAAACGAAAAAAACGAATTAATAAATTTGTACAAACAAAAATTTTTATTATTTAAATTTTTCTTTGTGTTTTTTATCAAAAAAAAAAATTGGAAAGGGCAAAAAGAATTCGAATAGATTGGCTTTGAATTGTACATTGAAATCAATAATGTGATATTGTTAAAAATTTTTAAAGCAATAAAACAATAATCCATAAAATTTGACCAAAACATGTAAACAACTCCAATTGATTAGCATAATTCTTTTTTTTTTTTGGAAAAGTTTTTATCTCAACACTGAAAATGATGGTATTTTCTTTTATATTTTTTTTACGGATTATTAAATTCTCAAATTAATCACCTTCATACAAATAAAACTGAAAAATTTAAATAACTCAATTTAAAATTGAATGGTATTATCTACGATTACTTCATAAATTGGCATTTATGTAAAATACAGGAAGACTCCCTGCTTTTCCAACGCTTAAAATTTAACTTTGGTCTTTAATCAAAAAAGATTAACTTTACGAGTACTATGGTATTTTAGTCAAATATTTTTAAAAATTCTGTTAAAAACCTAATACAGTAAAAATCTGATATAGTGAACACCCAATTTTATGAATTTCCCAACACGCAAATTTTAGGATTGACTGCCTTGGCCTACAATGTGAAAAACAATTTTTGTTAGAGCCACGACCCTCCTACAATATCAACGTCCCAAGTATGAAACCCAAGGCATCCCTAAGGGAGCTGAACAGCAGTTTCCGAACACTTAAGAAACCCTGTACAAATTGCGCCGTCGGACAGCCGGTACCGGGCAGTTGCAAAGTATGTGCACGGCAGTTTCATCACCGCCCCCGCAAAATGGGGGGCAGAGCACGATTTCCTTAATCTATGCAGGTGATATCTGACCAGGCAATGGCCCGTGAGAAATTCCCAATAGCGCGAAACCCGGCTCCTGCTCATTCCCAACCGCTCTGCGGCGAACTTCCTCGAGCATGTTGGAAGAAACCCTGACAGCACCCTTTCGTGTCCCGTTAGTGACACCCACGGTGGAGGAAGGCAGACCACAGAAGGGCAGCGGCTGCACAAAGTCAACCCCAGATTCCCTCCGCGCCAGTTCATGGGCAACCGAGTCCCGCAGGGCGGGGTTCTTTCGCCCCTCCTGTGGTCCATTGTAGTGGATGATCTAATCGCTGCTCTCAGGGGCTCCGAGGCGCGTGTCTGGCGATGTGGCCTTCGTCGTGCGGGGAAAATTTGAAAGCACTATTTCTGATCTTCTACAGCAAAATTTACGTGTTGTGGAAAGGTGGTGCAAAGGCGTTGAGTTAAATATAAATCCAAGCAAGAGCACTTTGGTCGCCTTCACCAGACGCAGAAGCAGGGATAGATTAACGAGCCCAATTCTGTTTGGTGAACGTATTAGTTACTCTAGGGAGGTGAAGTATCTGGGGGTAACCCTGGATGATCGTCTCTCTTGGAATACCCATATAGATAGAGTTATCGGAAGAGCTACGGCGGCCTTGTGGACGTGTAGGAGCTTCATCGGGGGGACTTGGGGAATTAGTCCCAGAATAGCACTGTGGCTATATACGGCCCTTGCTAGGCCCATCGTCACCTATGCGTCGATTGTATGGTGCCGTAAGGCTCAGCAGGCGGGTGTGCGGGCCAAGCTGGAAAAGCTACAGAGGCTGGCCTGCCTAGGAGTGACCGGGGCAATGCGGACGGCTCCCACCGCTGCATTGGAGGTGATGATCGGATTGCCGCCACTGCACCTCCATATATTGAAGGAAGCTCGGCTAATGACTTACCGACTTCTCTCTGGCGAGGACGGGGCAGGACTAAAGTTGGCCCACAGAACTCACAGAGACTTCATTGAGAGCGATCCGATCCTAAGGATAACCATGTCGGATACCTGTCTGCCGCGGTACAACTTCGACCACAGGTACAGGGTTCTGTTTCCCGATCGATGGACGTGCGATCGGGGTGGTCCGGTACTTAGGTCGGGTTCGAGCGTGTGGTATGCGGACGGGTCCAAAACGGAGTCGGGTGTGGGTTCGGGCGTATACGGTGTCCGCCCGGACACGCGTATATATGCAACCCTTGACCCGTATTGCACAGTGTTCCAGGCCGAAATACATGCAATAGAGATCTGTCTGAGAATCAATTTGGAAAGGGGGTATAGAAACCGCACCATCTATGTGTTCTCAGACAGCAGGGCTGCACTGCTAGCGCTTCGTTCAGCTCAGGTTACATCCAAGCTGGTCTGGAGCTGCTTTGCTGCACTTATGGAATTGGCATCGGAGAACAGAGTGACGCTCATTTGGCTGCCGGGCCATAGTGGCCATGCGGGCAACGAAGTTGCCAATGAGCTGGCGCGGACGGGATCTGGGGCTGACTTGGGAAGTGTTTCTTTCGGCATGCTCCGGCGGATTCAAGGCGGAGTTGCTGGGGATGAGCACGAGGCGGGTGCGCACTATTGCGAATTTCTTCACGGGGCACTGCCCAGTGAAGTACCACCTGTATAGGCTAGGGAAGTCGGGCTCCCCCCTGTGCAGATTTTGTCGGGGTGGCGATGAGACCGCCGTGCACATTCTCTGCGACTGTCCGGCACTGGCTGTTCGGCGCCGCAATTGTCTTGGACATGGGTCCCTTAGAGATATCTCCGGCTTTCTGATTGGGACGGGGATATTATAGACGGGAGGGTGGGGGGCTACAATAAGTCAAAAATGGCTGCGGTGGCTTGGGGGGTTACTCCTGTCCCACTCGGTTCCCTTAGAATCTTCGGGTCCAGGCTCACATATACACGCGTATCCGAGCGGACACCGTACACATTCGAACCCACACCCAACTCCGTTTTGGACCCGTTAGCACACGCTTGCGCCCGGCCCAAAAACCGAGTTGGCCCGCTCCCACGTCCATCGATCGGGAAGCAGAGCCCCGTACCTTCAGTCGAAATTGTATCGTGGCAGACAGGAATCCGGCATCATAATTCTTCGGATCGCCCTCAATAAAGTCTCTGTGAGTCCTGTGGGCCAATTTTCGCCCCACCTCGTCATCGCCGGAGAGAAGTCGGTAAGTCATTAGCTGAGCCTCCTTCACTATATGAAGATGCAGTGGTGGCAATCAAATCATTATCGTCCAATCATTACCGTTAGTGGAAGCCGTCCGCATAGCCCTGGTCACTAGCAGTGCATAATCTGAAGTTTTTTCAGCCTGGCCCTAGCAACGGCCGTATATAACCACATTGCCATCCTTGGACTGATGCCCCAGGCCCCACCGATAAAGCTCCTACACGTCCACAAGACTCTATCTATCTGGGTATCACAGGAGAGGCGATGATATATGGTTACCCCCAGATACTTCAAGTCCCTAGAGTAACCAATACGTTCATCAAACAGAATTAGGCTCGTTAATTTATCCCTGCTTCTACAAGATTCTGGCGAAGGCAACCAAAGTGCTTTTTTTGAGATTTATATATAACCCAACGCATCTGCACCACCCTTCTACAACACGTAAATTTTGCTGTAGAAGGTCAGATATAGTGCTTTCAAAAAAGCCACATCGTCGGCGTAGCCCCAGACATCCGCCGCGAAGAACCTGAGTGCAACGATTAGATCATCCACCACGATGGATCACAGAAGGAGCGAATGACCGCATTTAAGTGACTCCGAAGAACTTCCGAGTCAGGAAAGTGCGTTGAGGATATCAGCTTCAACGTCTGCTTTCCGTTCTCGGTCATATAGCCATCAGGCTGTTCCATCAGGCCCAGCCCGCTAGCATACTCTTTGAAAAGCACCCTGTGAAGATGCGCGCGGCTGGGGAGTTATTCTATGCGCTTGCAGAACGCCCTCTATTAGCCTCTCTTCGCTTTCCTTATTTCCTTATTGTATATCGTGAGTGAATCTTTATACTCTTCTCACGAACCCGACGCCTTGACCATATTGGGGAGCTTTCTGGTCCTCTGTCTAAGCTTTCATCACGAGCACTTCCTATTGCTCCGGCTCGGCTTGGCGGGATAGCTGCCATGATAGGCATCAGTGATAGCCGTTGTCAGGGCCTCGACGGTCAGTTCGAAATCTACCGTTGTTCTGACAGAAGCAGGAATGAAACCAATCCGCTCCATGAGGAGCATTTCGAAATGACTCCAATCTCTGGACTGAGGCACCCGATGCATTTCTTCTGCCAAGGCCCCAGAGACAAGGATATCAAACCTAATCTGTCTATGGTCAAACATGGATCTATGGTCTCATTTAAGACATGCCATCCATCAATTCTATTACTGATAAACTCAGTGCAAAGAATGATGTCACGAACTTCTTCCGTAATTGCATTTATGAATGTCGGCCTATCGCCCTCATTCATAAATTCAAGTAGGCACTCACCTCTTTCACTTATATTACTGCTTCCCCAGAAAGTGTAGTGGGCATTGGCATCACTTTCTGTTATCAGCTGGAAGTTCCTTCTTCTACAGAAGTCCACTAGATCCTTCAACTGTTCATCTGAATGGGCACAGTCACTCGGTAGATAGGATGAGCATACAACAAACTCTGTCCAACCCCCGGGGGATCTCATCTTCACCAACGCAGTTACCTGATCCTTGGAGCAGTAATCTGGAATGGGAAGATATGTTAGGCTTTTACTAAACAAGATGCAGGTCCTATTCCTACCTACAATTGTATTATCACACAACAGCTCACCTGTTAGGCCCTCTTATGTATTTGCTTTATCCATTTAGACAAAGGGCCCACACGGGACCCCCTTTTGGCCTTCTTAACTAGCACGCCAGTAAGTTTTTTCTTTTTCGGCTCGCCCTCCCTTTTTGCCTTCGCAGGAGGTGGAGGCCTATCCGCTCCAGCTGCAACTTTTGAAGTCGTTTCAGGTTCCCCAATGGGCTTAGGTTCTTTCGGTTCCCCTCATAATTTCTGCGCCAAGCGTTGGTCTTATCGGCTCCTATGACCCTGCCCTGACGCCAACACACTGTATAAGCTTTTTCTCTTTCACCCCGACGGTTATTCAGTAGAAACTAAGAAAAATTCCGCTTTCCGTAAATCCTCCAAACCGGAATCGTCTACGGAGAAGGTGATGGAGCACCCCGTTCTTTTCTCTATCCATACGAAGCACCCTCCAAGAGCTCATCTTCAGGCTGGGATTTTTCTTCCCACAGACACAGGTAGCTGTCTGGAAATGTTGTCGCCATCTAGCACAGCTATGTTACAGCTGTCCCAAGGCTTAATCCTGCTGCAGACATTGGTAATCCAATCCCTGGTGCCCTTGTTGTTGCATGTGACGGATATCACATCGTTGATATGTCCCTGACGTTGCATGTGAAGTTATTGTTGTTGTTTTTTTATTTTTCCATTCATTGTGGTCCCACGAATAGCGTGGAAATACGGTTACCTATGGCAGAGCCCGGCATACCATGGGAAGGCCAATTTAAACAGGAGCGCGCCTGGTATCCAGAGTTAGCATATTAACGACTAAGCTCCCTCTTAGCCAGGCAGTCATCAGCATATGCTGTTCCACCTTGACTTGGCACACCTGTCACTAGCTGATTCATTTTAATTTCTTTCCACCATTTTAATTCTTGTACACTAGCTGTCAATTATTTTTCATAATTGATATTGCCGTTTACTATACCAATGAAGTAAATAAACAGCATTTTAACAACTAATTCAATAAAAATTTCCTAAAAATGAAAGAAAAATAACAGAAGCAAAACAAAAAAAAATCATTTTTCAATAAACAGAACACAAAACAGATTTAACCCTATAGTTACACACAACCACACACCCATATCGTATTTCACCTTATTAATAAAATCTAGGTTAAATTTATTTTTAAATTGATTTTAACACTAATTTTTGTATAATACGAATTGTCAGTGTGAACGCTATTATATTAGTAATCCTAATATTTAAATTTTATTACGTAATCGATACAATTATTAGAGGTTAATCACTCTTTTTTTGTAAACAATTTTAATATGTAAAATATATAATATACTATATTCGAATACGCATGTATGTATATGTATATATAGCTAACGGTTAAATATGATATGTAATAATTTTTTAAACTGTTATTATTATACCAAATATTACCCATATTGAGTACAAAAACTATAGCTGCCCACATAAAAATTTTTATAAATCTACGGAATAAAAAACAAATATTATCAATTATAAAGACCGAAAAAAGAAAGTTAATATTACCAGTTTATATACAGTTTAACTATATTGTAATAGTAGTTATTTTTAAATAGTTAAATATTATAATGAATAATAGAGTTTAAGTTTTTATAATATGGTATTTTTGTTCCATTATTGTTTTACCTAAAGGTGATTTATTGAAAAATGCAGCAGAAAACAAAATGATTTCATATAAAAACTAATTTTTATCTTTACAAAATCGATTGATGCTGACTTAACTTGATATTATTTAGTAATGAGTAGTACGAGTTTATAGTTAAAAGTAACAAAAACAGAGTTTTTCCTCATTTTAAATGAAGTAGTTCTTTAGTATTTTAATACGAAGAATTTAAACTTTTCGACATCTTGATTTTGTCTAAAATCGACTTAGGTATGTTTGTCATTCCCACAGGCTTATAGCAAACTTTTAACAAGATTTTAAAATATCCAGATCATATTTCGATTATTGATCACATATAGATTTACTTTATGTACCAGCATAAATTAGTATTAGAAAACAATTACGGTTTATATTTACCAAATCTTATGACCTTACAATTCTTTATTATATTTTTACATTTACTTTACATTTACATACTTGTATATAGGTGTATGTTACCTGTTCAAAAATTCTCTTTATAACTTTCATATGCAAACGTTCATAGGTATATGCGTGTGTTTACGTACTATGTAGTTCATAAATTTCCGGTCCAAAAAAAAAAATAAAAGAAAAGAAAATAAAAAACCCAGCGTACGTTCACATTAAAATTTCATCTGAATTATAATTAAAAATTTAAAGGCGTATAATTCTTACAAATAACAATATTAATATATATAACGACATTAATATCCGCCCTAGAATAAAAATCCATACATACATACACATGGTATATGTACGAGTATATTCATACTATGTGAATGAGCATGTACTTTTAAAATTACAGTGAAATCTCTTTGATGCCAACTCTTGAATTCTTGACAAAATTTTAATACTTAAACTGTAATATTTAACAACAAAATTAGTTAGTCATGTTGATTGTCAATCAAGAAAGTTAGATATTAAGAGCGTTAACCTTAATCCATCGTAGTTAATTATTAACTACTTCATACACAGCAATAAAAATATATTGCTGGACTTCAAGGTGAAATCACACTTTGGAGTGACGGAACGTCGAAATTTGAACTTTTATACCACAACCTCCCGCTCAGAAGCTCGCAGAAAGAAACGCCGCCCTAGGAAGATAAGACATCGTCTTCGCTTCCTCCTCATCTAAAGCTCCTGCATAAATCGTTATAAAAACTCCTGCATAGATCGTTAGCGGGTCGTCCATTAATCAATGTATTGGCATATATTTACTTCGAAATTTGCTATGTGGATGTGTCTAACGCCATTCTAAACTGATTCTCCATTAATTTAGTGCAGTTCTTTATATTCAAAATTATGTGCAACACTAGCTCAAAATGTATATGTATGCATTCTTATACTTATACCGTTTTGTGTACAATTGACCTGGCAAATTTTCACAATTGAGTGTTAATTTCTACATAACGAAAACAAAAAAAAAACCAAGAAACTTTTATTGATTTAATCTTTTAAAAATCTTAAAAAATTAACTTTGTAAAAATAATTTCTTTGTTTATTTAATTATTTGATATTTTTTCCTTTTTTTACTTTGTTTTCTGCTCTATTTTTAAGAAAACCGCATTGCCATACTTTTCAAAAATGAATTCGAATGTTGAGTTTATAATTATTGCATCCAATTAAGTTCTCAAATTCTTTATGAATCAACATTGTTCCAAAAAAAAACATGAACGTGATTAAAACATAAAGAATTTAATTTTATTATAAAAAAAGAGAAAAAAAACAGAAGAAAAATGTTGACTTTTTTAAATGTCTTCCTCTATAATTTTAAAAAAATTTTTTTCTGAATGCATGTAGGAGATGTAAAATATCTTAAGATCTAAAAACTAATAAGAAAGAAATGTTTGTCAACAACAAAAAAAAAACAAGACAGAAAACAAAAGAGAAACCGATTGATTCAATTAAATTTCCTAATTTCATAAAAAACAACAATAAGAATAAAAAACAAAGAATACACTTGTATAGCGATACGACATCAAAAATGCATAACTTTATTCATTCAGAAGAGTTCGTCCTTTTCTTTACTTATAGTCGAATGCATTTGTTCTTTACATCAGCAAACAAAATAACAAAAACCTAATTTTTTCTTTCGAACACTCTTAAACCCCAGTATCAATTCACATTTTTCATTAATTTTTTGTTTCTATATATTTTGTTATTGTTTCTCTTGTGGTTTTTGTAATTTTTCGGATTCATTAATGGCAATCTCATATCACATGATCATATCATAACAAAAAATTAATTCAAAAATACAAACACCAATAATACTCGTAACAAAAGAAAGAAAGACGATCTATGAATCTATTTTGTCTAGAACATTAATTTAAAAATGGGTAATCCTAGTATTTAACAGCTAAAACTTTGTAGTATGCGATTGACATTTAATAAAGTTGGTTTAAAAAGTTCAGCTGAAATACCATCTAGTATTTCTGCTTTATTGAGCTTTCTAATTGCCTCCACTATTTCTCTAATAGTGTTATATATAGTTCAAATTTAGTATTTTGGATAGGCGTGTTGGTTTCTGCAAAGTGTTCTCTAAAATAAATATCTATAGATATCCAGGTTTTGAAATTTTGAGCATATTCGCATCGAGTATAAGTAATTGTATAACTTACTTATCTCTGGATTGCCGTGAAAGATCATTTTTTTTCGCTTCTAAAATCAACTTTTAAAATTAATGTTTTTAACCAAAAGCTTACCCAAATTTTAGATGCGCTACACATCATAAAATCTCAATACATTCGTTCTTAAATTTATAAGTTAGCCCAAACGTATTTTCATATTTTTATTTTAAAATTAAAATAGAGAAAAAAAAATTTCGTCATCTGGTTATTTTTCATATCTAATCCATATCAACTCTGGCTCTATTTTATTAAATTTATTACGGCACTTTACTTGTGTGTACAAAATAAGCATGTAAAATATACGAATATTATCAACAAATACACTACATAAGTACTCATAGACATACTTGCATACTGAAATGTTACACCCCGTCAAATAAAGCTTGACTTGTTGATTCAGTTGAGTGCTATGCACAATATGTTAAAACGCACAAACATTTCAATACGGTCTACTGTAACTTAATTTGTCCCCTCTATAACCAAGTAAACAAATAATTGCTATAAAAAAATTTTATTATATTTTATTTTTCTTTTGATTGATAGTATTGAAACACACAATATCAGAATTTTTTTTTATTTTGATAAAAATTAAAAATTTATAAAATATTAATAGGGGATTTAAAAAATTTTTATTGGCTCACACAGAGACAAAAATGTTGCTTCTCTTTCATAAACCATTCATAATTATATAGCGAATATAATTCTAAATGAATCAATTGATGGCTGATTTAACAAAACAGGTCGTTTTACAGTCTTTATGCCCCAAATTTAATGTTTAAAAAATGAAGTTAGTTCCTCAATGAATGCACTCATAAATATTATTTATTAAGTTATAATAAATCGGAGGTGTCGTTCGGGCGGCTCTCAAAGATGAAATAATAAATCAAACTGAATTGACATCGAAAACTGTAACAAAATGGCATTCCGACTCCGATCCCAGTGTATTTGCGCAGATTTAATAATAAACGAACTTCTGGTCTTCCATCACGTTGCAGATTTACTATACTATTATTCAATATTATTATTTAATAAATTTTTTCTGAGTGTATAAAAATAAGTGCTAGCTACACATTTATAATATTAATTATGATGAATGTAAGTAACTCTTCCGCCTTTATTTCAATATTACTATAAATTTACACAGACACTCATTTTATTTAAGATCAATGTTTGTTATTTACAATGTTATACACATTCATAAATGTTAACCTTGTATGTGTTTAGTACATGTATAAGAATCTATTGCGATATTAAAAATTATTGCCTTTAGATTTGAGTAACTATTTTTAATTTTAATTCTTAAAACAAGCATTGTATATTCCGCTCTCTTCTAGTTACTGCCATAGACTCCTATAATGTATATAAAGATGTCTGTGCTTCTGCTCATTTCTAACTTAAATTTATGGGTAAATATATATACGAAACCAATATCCACATTAAAATGTTTGCTAGCACTAAACGGTTAGTAGGTAAATGGAAAACGAAGAGAAATAACCGTTTTTATCTCTGTTTTGACTGAAAGTAATGGTGGGTGACGATCATTTAGCCTTTTTCCTTTTGTTTTTCCTTTTATTTACAAATACACACACGCACACACAAATACGTACTTGTATTATTTTAATTTTGCAATTTTCTTTTCCATATGAATTCAATACACGCGTGCACACATAGATCTATATACACACGAGTAATATATACGTGTGTGGTTTGTATGTGGTTGTGTACCCAGTTTTCAATTGCAGTAACTATTATTTTTATTTTACTACATTTTGATTTTTTTTTACTTGTTCTTATTTTTACAACTTTGTTATTGT